ATATATATATATATTTCTTTATCTGTGTAACACACTAGTGAATTACTAGTTTAAAATTAATCTTCAGTATTTTTAATTTTTATAAAGAGCTTATACCAGTGGTAACATTACATGCAGTGACAATTTGAGTTAATTGTACATCATTAATTGGGTTTAATGTGATATTTTGATTAATAATGACATTAAAAAGTGAATTTTATGTAATGAATTTTGTTATAATATTTGAAAAAAAGACTTTTTTTAAAATTATACTTTTAGTTCCTCTATAATATCAATTTCGTAATTTTGGTCATTATATTTTTATTTTCACAATTTTAGTTCTTTAATTTTATAAAATTTTCAAAAATTGGTCCTCTTGTTAAACATTTATCTGTTGATTGTTAAAATTGTAATATTAATGATATGAGATTAAATAGATGACATAACAATTAATATTTAATAATATATAGACTAAATTTCACTTTTTATTTCTCATTTTTATAAGATAAAATAGTGAAATAAAATAAAAATAGGATGAAAATGAGCACTAAAAGTGTAATTTAGACTAAATATTACTACCTTTGGTCCTAATTATAAGCAAAAAAAAAAAATTTCTTTTATCTTAATTATAAGCCATAATTATTAGTTTTTAAAGTTACTCAAGAATAAATTTCTTTTATATCCTTAATTAATTACTAACTCTATTTTCTATAACTAACATTAAATATAACATTCAATTAAAACAAAGAGTATCTTTGGAATAAAATTTAAATTTATGACAAAATTAATTAAAAACAATCAACTTAATTACTTCTTTTAGTCTTTTTTTTGGTACTATGGATATTGGAATGAGTATTTATCAACTTGTTGAAAACTATTTTTCGTTAAGACCTAAATTGAATTAAGAAAATTAGTCCCTTTTTTGAGATCTTGACTGCATTAAAGTTATTCATTCCAAAGTCTTTTTTTCTTAAATCAAATATAAAACTCAAACTCTGTGGATCTTGACTACATTAAGAGTATCTCTCTTAACTTTTTTTTTTTTTTTTTTATCAAATCGAAGACTTGCACTACAGACTTTGAGGTTAGAAGACGAATTGCAACACCAGTCAAACCAAAGAACATTAGTTGTTCTTGATGATTTATCGTATATTACTTATAATTAGAACCAATTATATATTAAGAATAAATTACGTTGTTTTCTCCTAAGAAATAAAAATATTAAACTAGCCTCTCTTATGTTAAAATATATAATTTAATCTATTTAACTTACATTGTTAATATAAATTATCATGATTTTGAAAATTGGACAGAATCGATCCTTAATCAGTTTAGTTGGCCTAGCAAATTGTTTTGTATCGAACACTAGAAAATTAGTAGAACCAATCCAAAATTAGTCAAAACCAATAAAAAGAAAGGTCAAATCGCTCCAATTAAAATATATTTTAATTTTAAATTTTAATTTAAAATAATTTTAAAAAATTAGTTAATAAAAAATTATAAATTTGAATTTTTTTAAATACTTGTATAAAATATAATTTAATTATTTATGTTAACTTATAATTTTTAGTATCTTTATTTTTTATAATTTAACTATATTAATTTGATATTTTTATTTTACATGTAAATTTGTTATTATTAATGGACATGGTTGTATTTTATTAAGAATTAAGCTTAAATATCACATTATATATAAAGGTAATATATAATTAAATAGTATTTTAATATTTTAATTTAATTTTATTATACTTATATATATATATATTGATTTATAACTTAAAATATTTTGTAAAATTAATAATTAAAAATATCTTTTAAAAAAATGTATAATCAAATTTAACAAAATTTATATGATTTTAAAATAATAATTAAATATGTAAATCAAAAGATAAGTTGTTAAAAGTGTAATATATTTGAATTTGTTAAGTGAAAAAATGTTTATTTAAACAAAAAGAGATGGTGGTACATTATTTACATCTCTAATGAGATATTAATGTAAAAAGTTTGATAATAACTTTTTTAAGAAACTTTAACGAAAAACTAAAAAAAAAAATAGATAGTATTATATATTAAAATTTGTTGAGAGAGTGAACTATAATTTTTAATATAAAAAAAGAGTGTAATATTTGTATTAGAAAGAAAGTGTAACTTATTCATGTTAATTATTTTGTCATCTATCTCTATATATCTCTATCTAATGTTGCTAGTTTCACAAAATTGAGGATAACAAACTTAAAAGTTGAGAGATCAAAATTATGAATTTGATATTCTAATAGAATGAAAAAAATGTAATATAATATTTTTTAATTAGACTGAAAAAATTAATTTTAAATTTAAGAGAATTACTTTTTCAGAGAATTGAAACCGGAGATCTGGAACTAGAAAGTGCAATGGTGGCAGTGGCAAATCGATTACTTATCCGTATTTACGGTGAAGCTTCTTTGTAATTCTTAAAAATCGATTACTTTCTTCTTTTTTTTTTTTGACGTACTTTACGTGATTTTGGGCATTCCAGCACGCAACCAAACATGCTGTTATTTGCTTTATTACAGATGCCATCACTTCCTCTACATTTGCTATCCCATACCACAACTCTCTAAACACAAACTCAAAACGGAATGAAAGTAAAAAAGCTTCACATTTCACTTCCCAATACGAAAACTGAAAAGCCTCAAATATTGGCTTTTGAGAAGTGCTGTTTAATTTCTTTCTCTATAAATAAAGCTATTTTCTTTCAACAATCTTATCTTCTTGGCTCACTGGTAGAGGTACGTATGATCTCCTTACTTAGCTTCTTCCTCATTATAAGTGTACCATTGGATATGTGTTGTTGATACAATTGATTTTAAATTAATTTTGAGTAAACTTGAGTTAAAGGAATGTGATTTTCGTTTGAATGATAAGATATATATACTTAATTTTTTTGTATTAAATGTTGTTTGAAAACTGTTATCAAAATTAATTAAGTATATAATTATAAATTTAGATAGATAAAATTTTAAAATTGATTTTATATGATGAAGAAACTATTAATAATTACTTCAAAGTATACATTTAAATTTTGATATATTGAAATTAATTTTATTAATAATTAAACATTCAACAAACCTGATTTTGGTCATTTTGAACATAATAAATTGATTAAGGACATGTTTAGAATATGTTTGACGTTAAAGCAAACGTGTTAAACATATTCTAAATCTTCATCAAGTTGTTGTGATTTGTGAACTTATATATACTTTTCACTTTCATCTTGGGTTCGTATACTGCATGCCCTTTCTGGAGTTTGCATGCTAAATTGCTAATAGTAGCCTTTTCTTTTTCTTAACTTTTTTTTTTGGATTTCAAGTTTATATCATTGTTGTGTTCGTACTATGAATTTTCATACTTTAATACCACCGACACCGTGTATGCCTTTTCCTTTTTTAGTCTTGTCATGCAAACTCTTTTTGACTTATTATAGAGGCCGATTCGTTAAATTCTGGCACGTGTTTGTCTACACCTAGATTTCCCTTTTGATTATTTCTGATAGCATAATTCCCTTGTACTGACATGTCTCTGAAATTTCTTTACAATCTGCATCTGTTTAATATATTTTTTAATGAATAACTAGTTACATACTGATAAAGATTTTATTGACAGATCAACATGGGTTTTGTATCTCGAGGTTTGATTTTTCTGTTGGCAATATTTGTGCTGATATTAGGCACACCATGGTCGTGTGCCTTCGGAAAGACCAGAAGTAATGTGAAATCAGCTGTTTTTCTGTCTCCCAAATTTGAACTTGGACCAGGATCGGTTTTGAATAGATTTTATTTTGGTATTGATTTTCCTAGAGGCCATATTGCAGTTAAGAGTTTTGATGCTGAAGTAGTTGATGAAGCAGGGAACTCTGTGCCTCTCCATGAAACTTATATGCACCACTGGGTTGTTGCAAAATTCTATCAACCTAAAAATGATGGCCATAACCAATCTGGCATTATAATGGCGAGGAACGGTGGCATATGCCAGACAAATATTAATGGACAATACTTTGGCCTTGGTTCTGAGACACGAAGAACATCTACAAATATTCCAGATCCTTTTGCGATAGTTATAGGTAATCCTGCAGATATTCCAGAGGGGTATGAGGAGAAGTGGATGTTCAATATCCATGCCATTGATACCCGTGGTGTAGTGGATAAGAGGGGTTGCACCGAGTGCAGGTGTGACCTTTATAATGTTACAAAGGATGAACATGGGAAGCCTCTAAGTTCAGACTATAAAGGAGGTTTGTTATGTTGCTATGATGATACTCACTGCAGGTTGAGGGAAGGCTTTGAGGGCCCAAAGAGGAGCCTCTACCTAAAATACATAGTAAAGTGGGTTGACTGGAACAAGTTCATTGTGCCTGTTAAGCCTTACATAATTGATGTAACTGATACTTTTAAAGTATCAGATGATTCTAGTGGAATGATCCCTATACATGATTGCCAAGTAAGTGAATTCATCAAGAATCATGTAGATTGTCTCAATTTAAATTTAACTCCAAAACATAATACTAGGCCTTTACTTTGTTTATATGATCAACAATGATTTTTTTGTTACAGATTGAGTATCAGGTGGAACCTTGCAGCACTGGCGACATGAATGGAAATGGCTGTGTTGATGTGAAGAGGACAAGCGTTCCAATGCAAAAGGGTGGTTATGTCATCTATGGTGTTGCTCATATGCATGCAGGTGCTGCTGGATCCACTCTATATGGACAGGTGATGTTCTAAATTATTACATCCATATATTCTTAAATATTTTGGTATAACATTTTCAATCTTTTGTAGTGTAACTTGATTTCTGAAAATGTTTTGCATGACATTGTGATCAGGATGGAAGGGTTATATGTTCTTCAACACCAAGTTACGGAAAGGGAAAGGAAGCAGGAAATGAGAAAGGCTACATTGTAGGAATGTCTACATGTTATCCTCGACCAGGTTCTGTCAAAATAATTGATAGTGAAACTTTAACTCTAGAGGTTAACTACAGCAACAGCCCTGGGCACACAGGAGTAATGGGGCTTTTCTACCTATTGGTGGCAGAACAGCTTCCACACCAACACTTCAGACATTCCTCTCGTTCTTCATTCTTTATGAATGTAAATAGTAAATCTGATTGATATGTAACTAGTGATAAACTAATATAAGTGTAGTATCTCTAAGTATGTATGACAGTCAATAGAAATAAAGACAAAATTTTGAAGATTTTTGGGATGGGGCTTGAGTTCAATTCATGTTACATAATAATCAACCCAAGTATGCTTATTGGAGTTGATTATAATTCACTCGTCAGGAAACTTTTTTTAATCTGTAAAAAGCGTTAAGAAAATAGAGTTTAAGTTCTTCAAAACCACGTATATAACTCCTCAGGCAAATTCCTTGTTTGTTCAAACGAAATAGTGAAAAATGAGGAAAAAAACTTCGAGGCTCATTTTTATTTAATTCTTTTAGTTTCAGGAGTTAAGGAATAGATGGACTTTTAGGATCCTTCTAAAGGCTGCTCTGAATTATTCAAACTCCTTTTCTGTGTTTTGGGTCTAAACAACCATTCACTATAGGTTTCTCCCCCTTGTTGAACCAAATTTTTGGCCAGTCCAAACTCTTATAACACCTGTATATTATACATCTTATATTATAATTATACCAAGTTCTTTATATCTTATATCATAATTATAATGAGGGTTGGGATGGCAATAAGATGAGATGGATACAGATTTCATTTCCATTTTCGTCTTTATTTCTGTATTTTATATTCATCTTTACTTTTATATGTAATGGGTTTAGGATTTGTGTATATATTCTTATTTCTGTTAGATATTAAATATATTTGTATTCATTTCATATTTGATAAAAAATTAATTAATTTTTTAAAAAATAAATATTAAAAATAAGAATTTTAATATAAAGTTACAATTATAAAATTATATTAATTAAGTTTCATTTAACATAAATTTAAAATAGAATAAAAATTATATAAATATCAAGTAAATTTTTAAAAGAATAAATTAAATTTCTAAAAATTTAAAGCAAATACATATATGTGTATATTCATCTTTATCCTTATAATCAAATTAATAAGTCGAGTTTATCTATATTCGATCAAATTGGATATTTTTTATTAAAGTGGGAATGAATTTAAATATTTTATAACAATTATTAATTATTATTTAATGATAAGTGTACATACATGACAATAATATGATAATTTATCGTTGATGATTTATCAAAGTTATAATTTTATAAAAATTGTGTTGAGTTTTGGTTGATAAAAGATTCAACCTTTATTTGGTTAGAAAGAAAAATAAATTTTATATTGAAGAAAAAATAATTAAGTTTGTATATTTAGTTAGTCACCATAATTAATTTATGAAATTTAAATAATAAAAATTCGTATATTAACCATTAAAGAGAAAAAGGTGAAGTGATATGCAGGGAGAAAATAGAAGAAAATTTAAAAATAAGTTTAGAGAAAAAAAATTCATAAAATAATGAGTAATCTAATATGGAAGGACAATAAAATTATAAAAATAATAATGTAGAAAGTATTGTATAGATAGCATAATTTTGTCCTTTCAAGTTCTAGTAAAAACAAAAATTAATAAATAAATCATGTTGACAATAAACATGTAAGTGAGGATCCAATTCAATTTTAACAATTTTATTTTTATTCTTTTTTCTGCAAAAATAATTTTTACATTAACATAATTTAAAATTTTTATCCGACACATTAAATCTACAAATAAAATATAAATAAAATTGAAGCACTTACCTTTGTATTTTCTTTGTTTACAATTTTATTAGTTCCTCACTTTTTACATGATTTTTGTGCATCTAGAAACAAAATAGTTGAAATATATAATTTTTTTTATCAAATTTTAAATTATGTGTACAAAATTGAGAATATTAAAAAAAAGAAGAAAAAGTAGCACATTCTATTTTTTTATACAAATTATCGTGTGAGATGAGAATTAATCAATAAAAAGTAAGTGATTCAATGGATAAAATATAAAAATATAATATAAATGATAAAGAGGAGAGGAAATATGTAATAAATGATAAGATTACGTAAAAATTAACCTCTAAAATAAATTATGACATCCTAAATTATATGTGAAAAATTTGAAAGTAAAACAGAAAAAATAGTAATTTTCAATTATGATAATGACACAATTCAAATTTTATGAGACATGACAGTCTCTAAAGACTTCATAAGTGATAGCTTTGACACGTTTTATCTTCTCCATGTTGTAAGTTATACTGTAAAACAGAAATATAATAGAAGAAAGATGTGCATAGAAATTTACACAAACAAATATTCTAATAAGATAATATGAAATATTAATTTTGAAACAACGTGTTAACATGGTAGTTTTGAGAGAAAAAAAATAATAGAGTGATTGATTTTGTTTGTTTATATAAAAAGATATTATATATTAATTTAAATTTATATAATGAAATACTAAATAATTTTTAAGTTTTACAAAAATTTATAAATTTAATTTATTATAATAATTTTTTTAATTTAATTAGATTGTTAAAATTTAGTATATATTATGATGAGTTATCAAGTAATTTTTTCTATCAAGAATTCTATTAACAGTAACTTAATTTTCAAATATATATTTATAATCAATTATATACATATAATTTCTAATCATTTCACTGTATTTTTCTTCTACTTCTCCTTTATCTAATAATTTTTATTTTATTTTATTTCTTAATTACATCCTTTCTCTTGGTTTATTTATTTTTCTCAGTTTCTTTTTCACTTACCAATAAAATAGACTGATAATACTGTCTTCAATGTTTTGTCGGTTCGCTATAATACGTCATGTCTTACGACACACGGTGTTATTCATAGACTTTTTTTTTTTTTTTTTTTCCTAAATGAGGCCACGAAAGAAGAAAGTGTTATATTTATCAAAGGAGAAACAAATATGCAAATTTGGATAGTGCGCAAGGGATTAGTTTTACCATTTATTAGATGATGTTTTGGGAGATTTTACTTCCTTATTTCGTTGTAATTTCTTTATTTGAGGTTTGTCATAAAAAAATAAATATAAAACCTAATGTTATAATTTTTAAGTACTTTTAATATTTATAAACAATATAAATAAAAAGTAAATATATATGTGTATTACGATATGTGAATATATAATTTGTATTTATTTATTTTTAAAAATAAAAAGAATTATTACAATAAATAATATAGTAAATATTTATTTTTTACTTTTAAATTAAAATTGATATTTACTTCATTTTTTTTATATTCTTTCACCAAATTAATTTTTATTTTTACTTTATTTATTTTTCCTTACTAACACAGTACAAAGTGTAAAATACGTCACCACTTACGACATACGACGTTATTCATAGGTTTCTGTTTTTTTTTTTTTTACTATTTGAGTCCAGAGAAAGGCCTCGTACACTCTAGTTATTATAAGTATTAAGTAGGAAGAGATAAACGGGAAAAAAAGTAATAAATAAAATAGTATGTTTAGATAAATATATTTTAAAAAAAAGTAAAATTAATGAAAAATACATAAACGTGATTATTATGGAAATAGTTACATTTTTATATTGACTTTTCTTTTAATTTTTGGTTTTATTTTTATCATATATTATTATAATGATATTTTCTATTTTAATTTTTAATTTTTTCTCTTTCGTCAATTTCAATACATCTAAAATAACATAAAATTATAAATAATGATATAATTTTTAAAAATATTTTTAATATTTATAAACAGTATAAAATAAAATATTAAATATACAATATTTTAAACCTATGAAATATTTAATATTTACAATATAAAGTAATAAATATTAAGAAAAACTATGATAGAAAAATTTAGAATTGTTTTAATAAATAAAGTCAAAATATAAGATTTATTTTTGCATTTGACTTTCGAAATGAAAACTGAAAAGCTGAAATAATCTTTCAGGAAGGTGTTTGTTTGTCTATAAATAAATCCACTTTGATACTGCCTATCTTCAGACAGTGCCTTGCACTATAGGGTCTTCTTGGCTGTGTGTTTGTTGTAAGCATTTCCTTTTTCTCCACACTCTCTTCGATCGTCTTCCTCATAATCCTATCTTGTATATTAGATTCACCACTTATTTTTATGATCCGTTTAGCTTATGGCACATACTATTACTAACTGTTCATGAATTTCATCCCTATTAGTTTGACAGTTTGGGATATAACACGTTTATTTGTTGTGTTGTGACTTGTCAAGTTACGAATTTCACTTTCATCTTGGCTTCATGTACTGGCATGCCCTTTACTATAGTTTGCATGCTAATTTGCTAATTGTAATATTTTATTTTTCTTAATTGTTTTTGTTTGGTCTTAAGTTTATATTATCCTGCTTTAACTTTTGCCCTTTGACACCGTTTATGCTTTTGCCTTTTTATAATTTTGTTGTGCAAATTCTGTTTGGCTTAGTTATAGATGCTGATTTGTTTAGAGGACTGTGAGCAAGCACATGTCTGTTTACAATCTGCAACTGTTTAATATACTTTTTTTTAATTAATAACTAGTTAGATACCCTTAAAGATTGTTGTTAAGAGTAGTTAGTTTGTATTAGAAAATTAAGAAGAGGAGATACAAGTAACGCCAACTCCAACTTGATGAGTTCAAACATCATATTAAGATAGAATTAGACTATGCAAATGCTCTATATATGGGGAACTTATAAGAACTAGCTATTATCTGTAACAAACTTACAAACTAACTGCTCTTAACAATTTTGTTGACAGATCACCATGGGATTTATTTCTCCAGGTTTGCTTTTTCTATTGGCAATACTTGTGCTGATATTAGGCACACCATGCTCAAGTGTCTTTGGGAAGATTGAAAGTAATGTGAAATCAGCTGTTTTTCTGTCTCCCAAGTTTGAACTTGGACCTGGATCGGTTGCCAATAAATTTTATTATGATGTTGATTTTCCAAGGGGTCATATTGCACTTAAGAGTTTCAACGCTGAAGTAGTTGATGAAGCAGGAAACCCTGTACCTCTCCATGAAACCTATCTCCACCACTGGCTTCTTGTAAAATACTATCAACCTAAATATTTGACAACACACACACACTCTAGGTATGATGACCATGGGATACTTCACGACTCTGACTTTATAATGGCGAGGAACAGTGGTATATGCCAGAGAAATATTCTTGGACAATACTATGGCCTTGGATCTGAAACGCGAGGAACAACTACTGATGTTCCAGATCCTTTTGGGATAGTTCTAGGTAATCCTGCTGACATTCCAGAGGGGTATGAAGAGAAGTGGATTATCAATGTCCATGCCATTGATACTCGAGGTGTAGTGGATAGGATGGGGTGCACAGAGTGCAAGTGTGGCCTTTACAATGTTACAAAGGATCAATATGGGAGGCCTCTAAGGCCAGACTATAAAGGAGGTTCGTTGTGTTGCTATGATCAAACTCAGTGCAGATTGAGGGAAGACTTTGAGGGCCCAAAGAGGAGTCTCTACCTAAGATACACAGTAAAGTGGGTTGATTGGGACAAGTTCATTGTTCCTGTTAAGATTTATATACTAGATGTGACCGATACTTTAAAAATATCAGATGATTCTAAAGGGTTGATCCCAGAGCATGATTGCCGAGTAAGTGAATTCATCAAGAAACATGTAGAACGTCTCAATTTTAATTTTATTTCGAAACATAATACTAGTCCATTACTTTGTTGGGTACAAGTCAGCAACATATATTTCTTTGTTTCAGGTTGAGTATGATGTTGAATCTTGCAGCACTAACCACAAGAATAATGGCTGTCTTGATGTAATGAGGACAACGTTCCCAATGCAAAAGGGTGGTTATGTTGTCTATGGTGTTGCCCATCAGCATTCAGGTGGCATTGGATCAACTCTATATGGACAGGTAAAATTACAGCCATTCTTAAATATTTGGGTATAACATTTGTGCCATGACTTTATATAAAAACTATTCATGCAAGATGGTAATGAATAATGACCCTGTCCCTTAAATTAAAACTGATTACAAGTTCACACTTCTTTTTTTCTTTAGTCTTTCCATGTAATATTTTTCAACTGAGGATCACAAGTGTGGTTTACAAGAAAATCCTGAATAATGAGTTGTCTGCTAAATTTATTGGTAGTTGCATCTTTTTGCTTTCATTGGTATTCAATGGAAGGAAAAGAAGAAATTTTTCAATTAGGAATTACTAATAAATATTGATTCAAAATTTTAATATTGTAGTGTAACTTGTTTTCTGAATTTTTTTGGTTGACATTATCAGGATGGAAGAGTTATATGTTCTTCAATACCAAGTTATGGAAAGGGAAAGGAAGCAGGAAATGAGGCAGGCTACATTGTTGGAATGTCCACTTGTTATCCTCGACCAGGTTCTGTCAAAATAATTGATGATGAAACTTTAACTCTAGAGTCCAACTACAGCAGCACCCCTGGGCACACTGGAGTAATGGGGGTTTTCTACTTATTGGTGGCAGAACAACTCCCACATCAACACTTTACACATTCCTCTCGTTCTTCTTCATTCATTATGAATATAAATAGTATATTTGAATGATAGTAACGAGCGACATGGTAATATAAGTGCTGTATCGTAGATTCTCAGCCTCAAGTTTGAGAAATATATAGTTATCAGATTATTAGTCATGTGTTGTTGATGGTTTGTACTGTTTGTCTTAAACCACTCTTCCTTGTATGGTTATGTTATGTTTGTTATACATAGAATGGTTTTCCTTATATGGTTATCTTATGTAAAGGTTTAAGGTTATAAAGCTACTAGCATAAATTAAGTTGTTAATGTCCCCATATCTCACTTTGATGAGTGTGTCACGACTCTTTAGGAAACATTTATGCTACAGTAAAACTACATACAAATTTTGGGTCGCAAATCAAGGATTGCAACAAAATTACGAGCACAATTTAAAACCCTCATTGCATGGAGAGTTCCACGCGTGTGTGCTGGTCCAAAACAGATCAGGAATACCAAGTGCCTGATAATGTTAAACCAAAACAGCAAACAAGAAAAGAAAAAAAAAATTGCAGAACAAAATTTGCAAATGTGAACATTTGTGTGAGAGAGGAACTCCACGGTAAATAAAACATATGGATCAAGACACAATAAGAAGAAGCCACCCTCACAACAAAACCCAAGAAGCCTTATTATCTCTATTTTCTAGAAGAAAGTGACGTGACTAACAAACTCTTCTCACTCCCACGTTGATCTGATACAAACCCTGCCAAGCCCAAAGACACAAGAGAGAGAGACCCAAAACTGAAATATGGTGGCGCTATCCACATGTTGCTTGCATGATTTTTGAAAACTTTGGCCATTCTTGGAAAATCATTTTCAGCCCTCAATAGGGAACTCCATCCACAAACTCTTGTGGGCAGCGGTGTCAGTTTAAAAAGTCATCCCAAAAAATTGTCATTAGTTTTTGCATTACATGTGACACTACGAATTTAGATAATTTATTATGAGTATAGACTAATTTACATCTAACTAGATGTAATTTTCATGTATTAAACTCAATTAGTTAAGTTAGATGGGGTTAACTTGTAAATTTTGAAATATTTTTCAAGAAAATAAAATAGAAAAATAATTCAAATTTTCAATTTTAAATCTCTAAACTATTGTTCTCATGTACAAATATATTATTTGTCTTTAAAAAATTGTTTAAAACTAAGAATATTATATTTATTTTAGAGATTTATTTCTTCTTATAAAAATAAAATGTTAAGTTAACAAATAGAGGTTCTTAAGGTGAGAAAAATCACGAAAAATCATCTATCTTATAGAGATGATTTTCGTCTTAAATGAAAGATAAGGTCATATGAAGAAAGATTTATAAGTTTCATTAGAAAACTTGTAAAGAATGATTTTCAAGTTTCATTGAAAAATTTTTGAAAAAGGATTTTCAAGTTTTACCTTAAAATTTGTGATAGAGGAGTTTCAAAGTTTCATCCATAAAATATGTGAAGAAGAGATTTTCAAGTTTTACCCATAAAATTTGTAAGGAGAGGCTATTAAGTTTATTCCACAAAACTTGAAAGGAGGATTTTTAGGGTATATATATAATATATTTTGAAATATATAATAAACATCTTTGTATACATAGACATAAAGGGTCGAGTCACAATATATAAATTTTGTGTGATATTTTCTTTTTTTATTAGATTTTCTAACATGACTCACGTCATTATTTTTTATAAAAGGAATTAGTAAAACTCTTATAGAAAAATATTGAAGGGAAAAAATACTTTGATGATGATCATGGTGAATATCTCAATTAAATCTAAAAAAAATTTCTATTATTATTATATAATATTCATCTTTACATGATGATAAATAAATATGCGTATTCTTTATTTCTTTAAGATTTTACAAAAGAGAATTTTCTATAGACTCTAACTATCAATCCTCACTTAAATTGTTATTAAATCCTTTAAATGTGTAAATATACATATTCCAAAATTAGTTATTTGTCGTATCAATCCCTCAAGAACAAAATAACTTAATTTTCTCTTATGAACTATTTGGGTTAATATAAAATGGATGTACATAAGTAGTTCTTAATGGAGTTGAAGTCACCTATAATAGGGATGTTTAAAATTTAATCAATCCAAACAAAAAATTGCTAATCGATTCAAAAAAACTAAAAATTGATGAAAAATTGCAAATTAATTGTTCAGTTTGATTTTTAAATTTTTAGAATTGTGTGGTTTGATTTGATTTTCAAATTGAAATGTGAAATCAATCCAAATCGAACCAAGCTGCATTTATTTGTAAATATTTTTTTTCTTTAAATATATTGTCGAAGTATACAAATTTGATAAATACCATAAAAGGTGTTTTATAAGATTGTAAGCTATTGAAAGATTTTTCTCTCAAAAAATATATTATAATATTTAAAAGTACTTTATAAAATTATAAGTTACTAAATTAAATTTTAGAATGAAAATTATAAATTATTTATAATGTTCAAAAATAATTTTTTAAGTAACAAATTATATATATGAGAAAAAATATTTAATATGATAACTAAGATTTTATTAAAGAAATATTTTCACTAAAATAATAAGATAATAGTTAGTGTTAAATATATTAAGTGACTGGAATATTTTAGTATTTATATACTTTTAATTTTATTTTTTATGTTGGCTTGGGTGACTTTTAAGGCAAAACCTGAATCAAATTGCACCACAAACACCCTTTAACATATAATATCTTGTTACATTTGACTCAACCTAACATTAATTTTATTTATTTATTTATTTAATAAAAATGAGTAAACTTTTTTCACAATTGACATGTTACAAAAGAACAACAAAAAATATAAAGATAACTGGGCTAAAAAAAGGCATTCACTTATGTACTATCCGTACCGGGAAGCCGAGCTCTAGTTCGGCATCACAGTGCAGAACGAACTCGGTCACGCGTTAGACGACATCGGCCTTGTCTAAATAGGTCATAACTGACTTCAGGCCTAAGGCCCAATGAAACCCTAATTCACACAAAGTTAAGTGCATTACTTATACGAAACTCATACACCCACAAACACTAAATTTAGCATGGGAGTCTCTTTTGCAGGTACCACCCCCGCCTTGGAACAGCAAGCGTACCCAGCGAAGGAGGCTCACTAATCTTGCCCAGCAAATCGTCCCCTACGACCGATCTCCGATAAGAACAACTTATTACAAATAAGAATGATATAGCTTAGTAAATATGATTTTGTTAGTAGGCTAAGTATGATGTTCTAGTTTTTTTATTTTTTTGTTTCAAGATGCAATTGTTTGGTGTATTAGTTTTCCTTAAATAATTGTCCTAACCTTGATTATATATGGAAGAATACACACACATAAACACAAAGTTTTTGTGTTATTATTCTCGGTTGTAGTGTCTCTTTCCTCATGTTATCTATTATACTAGTAGGTTATTGTTAATCTAATTCCATTTATATCGAAAACATAAAATTTGAGTATATAAGACTACATTAATTGAGAATACACAATAAAAGGAGTTAATTTTTTTTACATAGATTTTACCTTCAAAATGCATATTTTTTTCTTCATTTTTCAATGAATTTCAGTTATATATAAGGAAATTAGTTGATACCCCTTTTTTTTTTAGATAAACAATGACATCTTGAAACAAAAATAGAAAGAAAGAAACAAGTACTACTTGTGTGGGACTTCCATTAATCAAAAGTTAATGTGAGATTTTAAAAACACACATCTATAATGAAGTTTGTAGAATTGGATATTTGTAGATTATCCAATAACAACCTAACATTAGGTGACTTGATAACTTTAACCACAATAATCATCATGATAATTTTTTATATCATCTTAAAAAAGTAAAATTTAGTCTAATTTAACATCATGAAATCAACTGGTAAGGTATAATTGCTCTCACTTATATATTATATTTTGGTTATCTCATTAGTTATTTTAGGATCTTTAACACACTCCCATCATATTGAAAACTAGATATTTCAAGCATGGAGTTTACAAAACTAAATGTAATCAAGTAGTCTAATAATGGATGATCTAATAAATTTAATACAATTAATAATAACTAGGAAAGAATCTCATACCATCTTGAAAAAGTGAGATTTGTAAAAACAACTAATCTCACTTATATATTATATTTGGTCATTTCATTAATCAATGTGAGATTTCTCAAACATTTTTTATCATATTGAGATAGTCTCATAACAAATTAATAAAGAGTAACTTATAAGTCCAACAATAATAATTATTAAAATAATTTTTAAGAAAATGAGATTGAACTTGACCTATTTTTACAAAATCAGTCTATAAATTAAAATTATTATCATTTGTATATTATATTTTAATTATTTTATTAATTGACGTGAAATCTTTGAGTTAAATATATCAAATTTGAGTCCTAAACATGTATAAAAATTACTGCCTTAAACAAAATTAATTTGAGTCGTAAACATGTATAAAAATTATTGCCCTAATAACTATACTCTACTAAAACAAAATTGGATCCGATAAAATATACATGTGATATAGCAAAAACTAGTATAAAAGGGACGGTGAAAAATTGTATCCGATAAAATATACACGTGATATACCAAAAACACTGGTATAAAATGGATGGTGAAAACTGAAAACACGTGTATAAACTGGATGCAAAATACTATTTGGTCGGATCGATATAATACGTCATGACTTACGACACATGACATTATTCATAGACTTATTTTTGTTTTTGTCTAACTGTGGCCATAAATGCCCGAACACTATATATTTACTAAAAGTAAAAATGATAAGATAAAGAAAAGAAAGGAAAAAAGTAATAAATAATATAATATAATTAAAAAATAAACAAAATGTAAAATGTTGAGAAATACATAAATGCGATTATTATGACAATAGTTATACTTCTATATTAACTTTTCCTTTATTTATTTTATTATCATATGATTTATTAATAATGACATTTTCTCTTTTCATTTTTTTAATTTTTATCTTTCTTCTATTTCAATGCATCTAAAATGAGATATATAATTACAAATAAAGTAATGTTCTAGTTTTTTATAAATGAAAAATAAAATATCAAATATGTTAAAACCATAAAATATTGATATTCACAATAAAAAAATAAAGAATTAATATTACACGTGTTTCATTTTAAAGTGTCAACCGATCCAAGAACAAACAAGATAGGGAATGAATGAAAAGCCAGAAAATTCAGGGTGTGAATGAAAACTGATACGCTGAAACAGTATCTTTCCAGAAGGTGTTTGTTTGTCCACATATGAATCTACTTTTATGCTGTCTATCGTCAAACAGAGCCTTGCACTATAGTGTCCTCGTGCCTCTCTATTTGTGGTAAGCATTTCCTTTTCCTCCACACTCTCTTCGTCTTCCTCATAGTCCTATCTTATATTTTAGATTCATCGCTAATTTGTATGACCCGGTTAGCTTATTGCGCTTATTATTACAAACTGTTCTTGAATTTCACTGCCCCTGACACAGTTTATCTGTTTGAGATATAACACAAGTTTATTTATTGTGTTGTGGCTTGTCAAGTTACAACCGGCACTTACATCTTGGCTTCATGTACTACTCGCATGCCCTTTACTATAGTTTGCATGCTAATTTGCTAATTGTAACATTTTCTTTTTCTTACTTGTTTTTGTTTTGTCTTAAGTTTATATTATAAGTTGTTCCTATTTTAACTTTTCATACCACCAACACTGTATATATGCCTTTGTCTTTTTATTTAAATTTTTTGTACAAATTCGGTTTGGGTTAGAAATAGATGCTGATTTGTTGAATTCTCAGAGGACTCTCGAGCGAGCACATGCCTGTTTATATCTAGATTTCCCTTTTCATCATTTCTCATATCAGAATTCCCTTTTCTTTACAATCTGCATCTTTTTAATTAATAACTAGTTACATACTGATAAAGATTTTGTTGACAGATTAACATGGGGTTTGTGTCTCATGGTTTGTCTTTTACGTTTGCAATACTTGTGCTGATATTAGGCACACCATGCTCATGTGTCTTTGGGAAGGCTGAAAGTAATGTAAAATCAGCTGTTTTTCTGTCTCCCAAGTTTGAACTTAGACCTGGATCGGTTGCCAATAAATTTTATTATGATCTTGATTTTCCAAGAGGTCATATTGCACTCAAGAGTTTCAATGCTGAAGTGGTTGATGAAGCAGGGAACTCGGTGCCTCTCCATGAAACTTATCTCCACCACTGGGTTGTTGTAAGGTATTATCAACCTAAATATTTGACGACACACACAAGGTATGATAGCCATAGGATACTTCACGGCTCTGACGTTGTGATAGTGAGGAACAGTGGTATATGCCAAAGAAATACTCTGGGACAATATTATGGCCTTGGATCTGAAACGCGAGGAACTGCTACGGATGTTCCAGATCCTTTTGGGATAGTTGTAGGTAACCCTGCAGAAATTCCTGAAGGGTATGAGGAGAAGTGGATGTTCAATATCCATGCCATTGATACACGTGGTGTAGTGGATAAGATGGGGTGCACTGAGTGCGTGTGTGACCTTTACAATGTTACAAAGGATCAACATGGGAAGCCTCTAAGTTCAGACTATAAAGGAGGTTTGTTTTGTTGCTATGATCAAACTCAGTGCAGGTTGAGGGAAGGTTTTGAGGGCCCAAAGAGGACCCTTTACCTAAGATACACAGTAAAGTGGGTTGACTGGGACAAGTTCATTGTGCCTGTTAAGATTTATCTACTTGATGTAACAGATACCTTTAAAATATCAGATGATTCTAAAGGGATGATTCCAGAGCATGATTGCCAAGTAAGTGAATTCATCAAGAAACATGTCGATCGTCTCAATTTCAATTTAATTTCAAAACATAATACTAGTGCATTACTTTGTCGGGTTTATGTGATAAACAGTGATTTCTTTGTTACAGATTGAGTATGAGGTTGAATCTTGCAGCACTGGCCACAAGGATGGTAATGGCTGTAATCATGTGAAGAGGACAAGCCTCCCATTGCCAAAGGGTGGTTATGTTATCTATGGTGTTGCTCATCAGCATTCAGGTGGCACCGGATCAACTCTATATGGACAGGTGATGTTCAATATTACAGCAATTCTTAAATATTTGGGTACAACATATGTGGCATGACTTTATATAAAAACTATTCATGCAAGATGGTAATGAATAATGACCCTTGTCCTTAAATTAAAAGAGATTATGAGTTCGCACCTCTTATTTTCTTAAGTCTTTCCATGTAGTAGTTTTCAATTGTGGATCACAATTTTAGTTTATAAGAAAATGCTGAAATAGTTAGTTTTTTTGCTTGCAATTTATTAGTAGTGGCATATTTTTGCTTTGATTGGTATACAATGAAAGTATAGGATGCAAATTTACAGTTCTGATAAATATATTTCAGAATTTAAATAATGTAGTGTAGCTTGTTTTCTGAAATTCTTTGCTTGACATTGTTAGGATGGACGGGTTATATGTTCTTCAATACCAAGTTATGGAAAGGGAAAGGAAGCAGGAAATGAGGCAGGCTACATTGTAGGAATGTCCACATGCTATCCTCGACCAGGTTCTGTGAAGATAATTGATGGTGAAACTTTAACTCTAGAGTCTAACTACAGTAGCAGCCGTGGCCACACCGGAGTGATGGGGCTTTTCTACCTATTAGTGGCAGAACAGCTTCCACGTCAACACTTCAGACATTCCTCTCGTTCTTCTTCATTCTTTACGAATATAAATAGTATATTTGATTGATATAGGTAAGTAGTGACATGCTTATGCTAGTGTAGTATCATCGACGGTATCTTGGTATTTATGAATGTCAAAATATATGACGACAGAATTTGGAAATGTAATTGGAAAATGTATTTGTCATTCTCTGCAGCAGCTAGCACAGGCAAAGGGCATATTCTCATATTTGAGGAATACAACAATCGGATTCAGTCATTTGTGTTTGTGATGGTTTGTACTGTTTGTCTTAAACCAGTTTTCCTTATATGGCTATGTGATATGTTTGTTGTACACTAAATGGTCCTCGCCTTGGAGACTATTTGGGCATGAGTCTTACGGAAATAAGTTGAGTTTATTTTGAAAAGCTTCTCAATAAAATTTAGTGAAATAAATTGAAAAAACTTGCACAATGATTATATATCTCCTTGCATAAATCAAATTCTTCAAACTGTAAACTGTCTCAATATCTTACTTTGACGAGTGCGTCACCACTCTTCTGGAAACATTTTGTCCTTTTATTGTTTATCAAATACTCATGTCATAAAATAAAGGTTGAGAAAAGGTGTTTTCATTTATCCAATTTTAAAAATAGGAAATGGCAGTTAACATATTCTTTTATACACTTTTTTTTAGGCACCTAGGTATCATATATAATACAAAATCAATTCAGTAATAGAATGCCGTATCGTCGACCTAAGCTCACCCGACAAACCAAAATCCGACTTACCACAGTCACACCAAGTGGGATAAATAAGCACCAACTTAATCCAAGACACCAACTTGGTCACGCACGAACTGATTTTATCATTCTATGCATAACTAGCTGTGCGTGTGCGTGATACCTCTTAATAATTCCAGGGAAAGAATCTTAAATGAAGTTTATAATGTTGTGGTATGCTATTAAGTTTTATAGTTTCCTTTTTATAGTTGAAATCTAGAAAAAAGTGTTCATAAATATAACGCATGTTACTATCCTGACTCATTTTGTATGGTTCTAAAAATGCTTATATGATAAGTTTGATAAATTAATTTGTTGAATGAATCATTATTTGATGGTTTGTATATGTTTTTATGGTTCAAAAAATGACTTGTGTGCAAAAAATTTGAGGAAAATTATTTTTGACTAGTCTTATAGTTACTATGAGAATCTTGTACTTGTTTAGAGATACATCGATAATTCTCTAACGTCTAGGATTTTCAAATTTCGAGCTTCAAGAGGTGAGATACTTATAAAAGACATTATAAGTGAACAAAAAGTGAACAATGTTGAATCTAATGGATTTTAGTTCTCAATTACTAATTAGGTGATATGATTGTTAATGATAGATTAATCTCTTAACCTTGTTTATTCCCTTCATTAGTTATGAAATTCACATTATGAATTTTTCGAGACATGATTGCCCCGGTATTCTCGACTACTTCGATCGTCAAGAATGTTGAGGCTATTGCAAAATAAAGAAAATGTACATATAGATTAACTAGTCCTAGTCATCTTAGCTACTTTAGGTGTTGAGAATACTAAGAACTTCCCAATTAAAATGAACATGTATATAAGCTAATTACTTCGATTGTCTCGATAATTGAGAATTGTACATGGAGCAATGAACATTTCAATTATCTCGACTAAGACTAATGAGGGGTTAAGCTATCTTCTTGGGCACATTGTTAGTTCATCTTGGTGGTCGAGGCAGCCAATATAGTTAAAGTATGCTCCCCATAACCCTTTTTCAATATAAATCTACTTGGAAAATTTTCATAGAAGTAATTTTTTTCACATTTTTTACTATTTCAGTATTTTGTTTGAACAAAACCCTGATTGAGATTTTAAAGATCTTGAACTTTATCTTCTTACACTTTCTACAAATATGAACAAAATTTCCAAATGAATGGGTTATGATATTTCAAAAATGACTTTCCAGAAGAAAAAAAATGAGTTTTACAATGCCCAAGTTTTCTAAAAATTATTAAAAGAATTTTTAATTAATTAAATGGTTTTTATAAACGTATTTAAAGATTTTTCAATAATTATGAGTGTTTTTAATTAATAAAGAAAGGTTTGTAAAATTATTTTGTTACGGTAAGTATTTGAAAAAAAAATGCATTTTAATTTTAATTGAGTGTATTTTAGAAAATTTATGTTTTATAATGTGATTTTATTTTAATTATGTTTTATGTTTTAAAAAAAATAAGGGAAGGAGTAGTCTCTTTTTTTCTTCTTCTTCTTCTTCTTCTTCTTTTTCTTCTTCTTTTATAAAAGGGGATTAAGCCTAGTGAATTCATGCTTTTGGCATTTTACAATTATGCTTTTAGATATCATCCTGGATTTCGCATCCATTATCTAGTGCTTACCGGGATAAGGGAGAGTGAGGGTTTTCTCTTTTGGGTATAAATTAATTGTTAGTAAAGGGGTTAATCCAATCTTGTCTGCTTGTTTATCTAAGTCTTGGAGAAATTCATGATTTGACTCGGGAAAAGAAAATCATAGATCTATATGTTTCTTATTAGTATTAATTATGTGTAATAATTAAGTTGTATGTGTGATTAATTTCATGTTGAGTGTTTTAATCATGAATCTATAATATTTGTGGAGAACCTTGAGCTATAGAGTAAAGTGAAAATTGATGTTAATTGCATGAATACATGAAATTGATGTTGAATTTGAGTAACTAATGGTATAATAGAGTATTAAACTCAAATAGAATGTAATATCAATAAATGTAGTATAAGATTTTCCTACTATTTTGAGTTATGATTAATATTAGGCATTTGAATTGTTTATATTACAAGGAGTCAAGAACTCTGGAGTATTCCTTCAACTTAACATTATGTTGTGAATTTTGAACGATACTAAACTTGAAGATTATTGTGATTATTTACATTTAAGTACGTTAATATTGTTTTAGAGTAGTTGCAACATCTTAAAAATCTGTTTCTTGTCAACCTAGTCTTGAGTATTTTACTGTCCAAAAAATGAAGGTGTGTAACCAACCTCCAATCCAATTAAGTCATTTGTTTAACTAATATATGAAACAAATAATCAACCCCGTGACTTTCTTTGACTTAAGAGAGTTTTTTAGTTTTTTTTTTTTACTTTTTATTTAATTTAATTTTTATTTATCATAATTATTTATAAATTAAATTTTAATATTTTTAAAATATGAATAAATAAATAAATATTGTATTTATTTATTATAAACGTAAAATATAATTTGTATATTTAAATATAATATTTATTTACATATATAATTTATTATAAGTTTTAGTAACATATAATAAATATTTAGTATATATAATATATCTAAAATCATTTAATATATCAATTTACGTGGTTCCTAATAATATATTAGTTCAACCAATAATCCCCAAATTAGTATCTTAATGAAGTTGATTATTGATTTGCTTCGGATAACATTATACCTATCTATCCATTAATTTATTTGTTTTAAATTTTAAATTATTAAAATTATATAATAAAAACTTAAATATGTTTTAGATGTTCGACCTGGTTTATAATATATAATTTTAGAAGTAATTAATGAGTAACACAAAAATAGTAGGAATTAAAATAATAATTTATAATTTTAAAAGATAAAATATAAAGAAATTTTTAATAAGAAATAAAATGAAAACTTGCACGTTTTACATATACTGAATACATATTTAAGACTATAATAAATATAATTAATATGGGTCGTTTAATTCTTCATTAAATGCGGTTAGGTAGATCAAGTTTCATTAGCTTCATCGACTTTTGTAAAGCTCAGAAGTGCAAATATAGTTTATATAAATACCATTGCCAGATGTAATACCTGGGAGTCACATGTTTGTTTAAATATAAAAATTAATATTTGAAAAGTAATATTTTAATCCATAAATAAATACATACTTTTTTTTTATTTTTATATTATCTTATATATTAAACACAGAGAACTATTTTATGTAAGAGTCATTTTAGGGGTCATTGTTTAAACGGTAGAGTTTGCATATTTTTTTTAAATTTTTTTTTAATTTAATTTTTTATTTATCATATTTATTTATAAATTAAATCAACTCGTAACTTTTTTATATTAAACGTGATCAATTATATTGTATGATAATATTTTTAAGAGTTATTCTACAACTAAAGCATTTTTAGTAATTTTTTTAATTTATTATCTAATTCAATTTTTTTATTTATCACATTTATTTATGAATTAAATTTTAATATTTTAAAATAAATTATTAATAATTAAAATAATCTTATTCTATAATATAAATCATCTATCTTAAATATAAAATATAATTTATATATTTAAAAATATGTATTTATACAAATTTTAAATATAGTTTATATATTCAAATTAATTCCTATATATTAAACGTGAATAACTATATTGTGTTTTTAGGGGTTATTCTTTGATAGGAACATTTTTAGAATTTTTTTAACCTTTTATCTAATTTATTTTTTATGTATTATATTTATTTATAAATTAAATTTTAATAATTTTTAATTACACTACATAAAGCTCCCTCGTGTGCGTGAAAGGGGGCACTAGGTCTACATGAAGCTTTCATTGGTTTGTGGAGCAACAGATTGATAACATCATCGTTGAGGTTGATCGTCAAAGAGTGAGGACCTTAGAGAGGGGAATGTTATATATCCTAGGGTAGGAGATTTTAAAATACTATGCTAAACTTTAATTTTTGTTTTGTAAAAGAGATATGTTAGAGATTTCACATTGATTAGAGATGAGATCATGATAGTGTGTATAAGTGGTGAGTTGTTCTCATCTTACAAGTTAGTTTTGTAGGATTGGGTTAGACCCATAAATTTTTTTCTAAGATGGTATCAAAGCTTATCCTGATGATTGTTATTGGGCTTATCAGGTTGCCCTTTATAAAGCATTATCGAATCATTTGTAAACGTTTAGTCCTACAACTAGTTATCAAATCATTTGCAGATGTTTAGTCCTACAACTATATGCTTGAGATGTCTAGTTCTTGGCATGAGGGGATGTGTTAGAGATCTCATATCGAATATTGATGAGTTCATAATAGCTTATATAAGTGAAAAGCAACTCCATGCTTTATTGAGATGTCTAGTCCTCGACATAAGGAGACGTGAAAAGCAATCTAGGGTTGAGTTTAGCCTATAAACTACTTTCTAATATGATATCAAAGCTTATACTAACAATTGTTAGTGGGTTTATTAGATCATCTGTTATTAGGTCATTATCGAATCTCTTTTAGATCTC